TAAGAAAGAAAATATCAAAATCAACAAACAACTATGAACCAGAGACACTCTATGGGGGGTGGGGAGCAGGGAGGAGAGGGATTGGGGTCAAAATAAGGGGGTTGCAATTGTATGGGGAATATAAAAATAAAATTTATATAAAAAATAATAAATAATTTTTTTTAAAAAAGAGGGAAGATCTCTTTGCTATGGCTCCTACAAAGCAGACTGTCTGCAAATATGGGGGTGGTTAAGTACCAAGGAAGCAACTGGCTGCAAAAGCCACTTGCAAGACAGCGTGCTCTGCAGGAGGGGCAAAGAAGCCTCACTGTTAGAGGCCCCATGTTGCCGCCCTCTGTGTAATTAGATGTTATCTGAAATCCACTAAACTTCTGTTTTGCAAACTTTCCTTCAAGCATATTGTACACAAAATTGCTCAGGACTTCAAAACACATCTGTGCTTCCAGAGAACAACTATTGGTGCTTTGCAGGAGGCAAGTGAGGCTTATCTGGTTAGCCTTTTTGAAGACACCAACTTGTGTGCTACCCATGCAAACATGAAACAATTATTCGAGAAGACAGTCAGCCAGAATGTCCTGTACGTGCAGAACATGCTTAAGAATCCACTGTGATGGAAAACATTTCATTCTCAAAAAAAAAAAAAAAATTCTCTTCTTCCTGTTGCTGGTAGTTCTGAAGGTTAGATTTTTTTTCCCATGTGGTCAAAAGGTGCCTAAGTATATGACTGCAAGTGGAAAAATAGGGAACAGAAATTGGATATGGGCAGTTTTTCCATTTTCATTAGTGTGTGAATGTTTAGTGTGAATGCAGGGATATAAAGCATTGAATGCAAGTCAAAACATTTTAGTGAACAAGTGTCAGCAGTTCAACTTAATAACAATTGCAAATAAACCTATTAAGTTTTTCTGGACAGTGTCAGCATTTTTTTAAAAAAACAAGTAAATTTCTTATTGATGGCAACAAATGGTGCTTGTAATATTTTATCGTGCAGAGGAGTCCATCCATTCACTAAATTTTTCTAACTCAGTGGACCAACATATAACATATGTTTTTAAAAATACTGTGTTGGGCCTCCCTGGTGGTGCAAGGGGTTTAGTTTCAGCATAATGAAGCTATCGGCAGCCCACCCAGGAAGCTACCCACATGGCATAGCAGACCTCTCCTGTCGCGCCCCCAGCTCTCCTCAGCAGTGTATTTCAGTCAATCTGCTTGTTCTGCTCCCCACTCTGGTGAATCCTCTCACACTGCCCCAAACACCTCTAGCCTATACACCAGTTCTTGGATACATAAATAAAATAAATCTTTAAAAAATAAAATAAAATAAAAATACTGTGCTGTCTTGACATGTCTTCTGTGCTGTTTCTAAGTTTGCTACTAAAATATATTCAACTAAAAACAAAAAGATGACCGGTCAACCAAGGGAATGAAGGAACATGGTGAGCTTAGGGAGATGGGTAGGAAATGAGGAGGGGTTGAGGCCTTTGCCCAGGATCAGGGCAGTGAGAACCAGTCCAGTTGGGACCTCAGCCCCTGGCCCTTTCTGGTCTTAACTCATTCCCCAGTTAAGGGTCACTCCCCCCCAACTCTGACATGCCCTTACTGGCTTAATGATTCACTCTCAACTTTTCCCTTGCTTCCTTATGGTAGAGAGGGCATGGGGCAGAGCTCTAGGTCTCTGAGAATGGCAGGAACAGAGGTGGGGGGAGTCAGAGGGGACTTGGGGGGCAGCGTTGGTTGACAAGAAATGACGAACAGCCCAGATTCTTTTCTTTGTCCTACTCTGGTCTTGCCACAAAGAAAGGTCTTTTTCTGCCAAAAGGACAGTAAGGATAACTAGGTCCAGCTGGAGGCCCAGATTCCAGATGTGGGAGGTAGCGGTGAAACAAGATCCTGACATTCCCCCTTCATTTCCCCTCCCCTACCCTGGAGAAATTTTCCATTATAAACAAGCTAATCATTCCTGACCTTGGATGCCTCCCCCTGTCCCCCACCAAGCAGTTTTATTCCATCATCACTATCTCCCCACCCCCGGCTCTATCTGCGTGAGCGTTTGGTCCCATCCACACAAATAAGCATTACGTATTTATGTTGATCTGTGTGTCGGGTACAAGTTGTCTTAGAATAAGGGTGTAGATAGTCTGCAGGCTACCTGCGCTTGAGTGCAGACCTTAGGGTCATACCAGGCATGAAAGGCAGGTGTGGGAAAGGTGTGTGTGTTTGTGGAGAAGGTGTGTTTCATGTTAGCAAGAAGATGTAATACTGAAGGGGTCCCCTGAGTTTAGACAGGACTAGTGGTTGTAAAATAAAGCTAAGTGTGGGCTCAGGAAGCAACTGCATAAACAACAGTGTATCTATTTCTGGCCCAATCTGCATAACTACACATCCTGGTTTGAGAAATACCCTTAGGTCCTCCTTGTGTAAGAATTGTCCAGTTTTTCTTAAGATGTTGTAAATGTCTACATGAGGGTTAAAAAAAGAGTGTCTCAAAAGCTTAGAGTGGGGGCCTCCCTGGTGGCGCAAGGGGTTAAGCACTGCACTATGAAGCAATCCACAGCCCCAGCCGGCCAGGGAGAAACCCACATGGAGAGGCAGACCTCTCCTGTTTCGCCCACTACTCCCCTCAGCAGTGTATTTCAGCAAATCTAGTTGTTCTGTTCCCCACTCTGCCTCTGGTGAATCCTCTCACCCCCAGCTCCCCAGCTCTTATATGCATAAATAAATAAATCTTTAAAAAAAAAAAAAGCTTGGAGTGACCCAGACAATGTGGAAATACTGTATGTACACTTATAGTTCTGCATTTTCCTCTTTCGCTCATCAAGATCACTGAACAACGGCTAAATCATGGCACCGTGCCGGCTTCTCTGCAGGACACAGATGTATGACACGGCCTCTCAGCAGATAGGTCATGTGTGCATTTGTCATGTGAATCGGGCATAACTATCTGGTGTAGCGATCTGAACCAGTTGCATTTCAAGATCCTGGAATCAACTTTGATCCCTTCATGCCTTGCCATCAGCTCCCCCACGCTCCCTGCCCACTGACTCCCACAATCTCCATTTTGGCAAATTTTGGTGGTTTTTTGCTAGGAATGTCTCTTGTAGCTGCCCTCTTCTTGTTTCCCTCTGCCAAGGCCCATTTCAGGACCTTGTTACCTTCCACATGAATATATCCAGCAGCTTCCTGTCCCTGCCTCAGTGTCTTCCCATCTAGGGCACACACCACACCCAACTCAGTTCCCGGCTTGAATTGCCCTCTTTTTACAGCATCTCACAACCCTCGAGCTGCACAGGCCACAGTCAAGGCCGGCTTCCTGGGCTAGCTAAGCGCTCCCTACTGTGCCTGACTCCCTTCCAGCCATTGTTACTGCCCACTGCTCCCTTATGGGAAGCCTACTGTGAAATTGTTTTTCTTGTGATTCCCCAAATATATCCTGTATTTTTCCAGCTCAAGGCCTTTGTGGCTCCATTCTCTTTCTCATAGTCGTCTTCCACATCTGATTCTGTGGTATCCCACCCACTGTTCAAGGTCACCTCAAATACCACTCTTCTATGACGCTAGCCTGATTGTTGAAAGCACTAACTTTTTTGGCTCCCCCTTAATATCTAGTCTTTTTTTTTTAAAGCTTTATTTTATTTAGGGCCTCCCTGGTGGCACAGGGGTTAAGTCTCAGCAGTATCAAACTATCACCAGTCACTGCAGCATGAGTTCGCTCCCCAGCCTGGGAGGTGACCCACATGGCCCAGCAGACCTCTCCTGTCTTGCCTGCTGCTCCCCTCAGCAGTGTATTTCAGTAGATATGCCTGTTCTGCTCCCCACTATGTCTCTGGTGAATCCTCTCTCTCTCTCTCTCTCTCTCTCTCTCACACACACACACACACACACACACACACCCCTCTGGCCTACACTCCTATTCTTGCATGCATAAATAAATAAAAATAAATGTTTTTAAAAGAGAGAAACAGAGTGGGGAGCTTCAAAGCACTGAGACTTAACCCCTGCGCCTCCTGGGAGGCCCTTAATACCTACTCTTTAATTTTCTTTGGACCCTCAATAGTTCTCCTGTCAGGGTTCCCTACCCAGGCAGAGGGTAAGGCCCACAAGCTGAGGTGCCAGCTGTTATCTAGCTTGTGTCATTCAGCAGCACACACACCAAATCCCACCTCAGGGCCCTCAACAGCACTTTAAACAGGGTGCTTGCACCAGCAAATGCTCCAAAGATGTGAAATCCTGTGTCCAAGAGCAGCTGCCATAAGGCAGAGATCAAATGTGCCAATTCTGTCTTCAGGTAATTCCATTCACAAATATTCGCATCATGTGTCATGGTTTTAAATGTTCTTCACATAAATTTTTCAATTTTATCTATACATCCGGGAACAAATCTAGGTGGCTGCCAGCCTCCTGCCTTTGTGTTTTGTGGCCCTCTGCACCAGCCTCCTGTGAAGATTCCTGCACATATATCTAAGCGGGTAGCTTGGCTACACTGTCCCTATGCAGTCTTTGCACCACTGTGCTCTGTGTGTGTGCATGTGTGCATGTGTTTTCCTGTGTGCTAATGCAGGCAGGGTTGTGTCTGTGTGCGCTAGAGTTTTCATTTCTGTTGGCTATTTCTGTAACACTTCACACCTCAGGTGTGTTTGCTATGTGTACTACAAACGTATGTCTGTAATTGTGGTTCCCAGACTTCAAGGGGTTCTCATTGTAACAGGGCCAGTAGACCTCCTTATGTAAGACCCCTACCTCCCCAGCATGTGGCCTGTGGCTGAAGTCTCCCTTATATTGACTCTGCCCTCTTGTGCTGTCACCTGTCCCAAAAAGTGCCAGCCCCACTCACAGCTCACAACACCCTCACAGCACAAACTCGGGTGCCCAGAGTGGCTTAGACCAATTCTCCATGCCCTTCCTTTGCTTAATCTGGAATTTCCAGCCGGTTTTGGCCGGCCGCTCCCAGTGGGTGGAGCTGAGAAGGGCCCGCCCAGTTTTCCGCGGTTAAGTAGCCCAGCCCAGCTCCGCTCCCGCTTGCACTTGACCTTCCTCTCTGCTCAGCGCACGATGTGTCACTCTCGAAGCTCCCTCCCAACTATGACTGTCCTGCAGGCCCCGACCCCCGTCCCCTCCAACAGCCCGGGATCCCGGAGGGGCTCCGGTCCCGAGATCTTCACGTTCGACCCTCTCCCGGAGCCGGCGAGGGCCCCCACCGCGCGCCCCAGCATCTCTCGCGGGCACCGCAAGCGCAGTCGTCGGGTCCTCTACCCACGAGTGGTGAGTGTCGCCAAAGTGGGCAGCCGCGAGCAGGGCGCGGGGAGCGAGCGCCTCCGGGGCGTCGAGCTGACCCTTTTCCTTCTTTGTCTCCCCTCAGGTGCGGCGCCAGCTGCCTGCCGAGGATCCGAACCCCGCCAGAAGGCTCCTCTTTATCCTGCTTACCATCGTCTTCTGCCAGATCCTGATGGCTGAAGAAGGTGTGCCGGCGCCTCTGGCCGGGGAAGACGACCCCAGCGCGGCGACCCCAGAGCCCACCCCACTGCCCCCCGTCTTTGAGCCGCTCAATCTGACCTCGGAGCCCTCGGACTACTCTCTGGACCTCAGCACTTTTCTCCAGCAACACCCGGCCGCCTTCTAACCGTACCTCCCCACTCTCCCCAAAAAAGAATCTGAAACAAAGAACCACCAGGCGTACCTGGTGCGCAAGAGCGTATCCCAAACTGGGACGGCCGAGGCAACTCCAACTCAGAACACTACAGGGAAGACGCCGGCGGCGCCGGGGAGACCAGCACCCACGCCAGGGCCGAGCCGGCGGGGCAGGAGGCGGCTTTAACTTATTCTCATTGCTCCTAATTAATATTTAAACGTATTTATGTATACCCCCTAGTTGGAGGGGTGTATGTAATATTTATTTTAACTTATGCAGTGGTGCGAGAGGTGCTCCTCTCTGTTGACACGGATCGCTTGTTATTTATTGAGCTTTGTGGGCGAGGTGGAGGGAGGGCGCCTGGAAACGAGGGGGAACAGAAGGGGTGCCCAGGTCCGCGGGGGCGCCCGGGCTGGGAGTCACGGTCGGTGGCGGGTCGTAGGTCTTGGGGCTGACGCTCTCGGTCCTCCAGCATCCCAGCTCCGCGGGTCTGCTGAGACGTCGGCGACTTTGGGAAACAGATCCTTGGACTCGAGTTCCTCGAAGTTGCCCCCGAGCAGTGGCTGCGGAGAGGAGGGCTGGCGGGCTGTCTAGGGCGGCTGTAGGGTCGCCCGGTATGTTCTGTGAACACAAATAAACTCGATTTACTTTTAACAATCATCTGAGTGTATCTTTGCGAGCGGCGATTCCCCATTCCAGCCTTGGCGCCCCAAGGACGGGCGGGAGGGGCCGCCAGCCCCGGAACCCAGCATCCGGGGGCCGGATGCAGTCGTTGGCGGCGAGTCTGCGGTTTTCCCAGTTAGTAAGCGCGGGGCCAACCCGAAATGAAGCAACCTCCCTCCACGGAGGCGCCGGGCCCGCGGAGGTCACGTCCCGCGGCCCGGGGCGGGGTGTGCGGCGGCCCGGGCGGGGCTCCGCGCGGGGGGCGGGGGCGCGGGGAGGGGCGAGGAGGCACCCAGCGGGCCCCCGCGCGCGCTCCGCTAAGCGCACCCCGGCCTGGCGGGCTGCGGACCCGAGCGGGGCCTGCCGGGAAAGAGGCGGGTCGAGGGGGCGGGATTGGTCCGCCGCGGGGGGCGGGGTCGCGTCGGTGTCCGCAACAGGGTGCGGTCGAGTGGCGGGCGCGGGGGCGAACCGGCTTTCGGGAAGGCGGTGCTCGAGTGGCCCCTGCTGGGCTCGCGGCTCCCCTGCGCGTCCCCCTGGTCCCAAGACCCTGTCCCTCCGCGTCGCGAAGGTAGGTGGCCGAGGGGGGCAGGAGACAGGCTGCGGAGAAGCGGGAAGGTGGCGCAAGGTGTGGGGCCTCTAGACGCAGAGCTGTATCCCAGAAGGGGGAAACCGCCCTGCCTGAGGGCCGGGAGTCTCTGGGAATCTGCATTATTGCACCTGGAAAGGCCTAAGCGCACATGTGGATGCGGAAGGCGCTGGGCCTTGGTGTCCGCAGACTGGGCGGGACTGACGGGAAAGTGAAAGGATTCTCTCCTGTGGGCTCCACAGCGCCCCTTCCTCTTCCACAAAGGCTTTCTCTCCCTCTCCAGCTCCTACCTGAGCCATGTTTTTCACCTGTGGCCCAAATGAGGCTATGGTGGTCTCGGGTAAGTACTGTTCTCTTCTCAGCCGCAGAACCCCCACACCCCTCCAGCCTGCTCCTTCCTCCTCCTCTACCTACTCCCCAGCGCTGTCTTTTGCCCCGCCCCCATGGCCGGGAGCCACCCCCATGTGATTCCCAGCCGCTACCCTTTCAGGACCCAAAGTGCCTTCCTTCCAGCGCCCAGATTTCCTCAGGATTGCTCCCCAACCCACTCCACTTCTTCAGCCTTCCACAGTCCAGCTCTACCTTGGTCATGGCAGCTCACTGTCCCCTCACCTTGCAGGTTTCTGCCGGAGCCCCCCAGTTATGGTGGCTGGAGGTCGTGTTTTTGTCCTGCCCTGCATCCAGCAAATCCAGAGGTGGGTAGGAAGAGAACCATAGAAGGGAATCCCCAGTTTTCTCTTTCATCTCACTATCCAACCCCTTCTTTTTTCTCTAGGATCTCTCTCAACACACTGACCCTCAATGTCAAGAGTGAAAAGGTTTACACTCGCCACGGGGTCCCCATCTCAGTCACTGGCATTGCCCAGGTGAGGCTTTCAGAGCCTTTCCCATGAAGTCCATTCCCCCATCACCTTCTCTCTTCCCAGACATTAAGAATCTTCTGCCCATGGCCTTCCCAATCTCTGTCTGCAGAGAAATTTCTCTTTTATTCTCACCTTCTCCTGGGACAAACCCCTCCCCCCCAAAAAAACACTTGATGCCTCCTCCCTTCTCTGTTTCTTCTCTGACTTCTGAGACCTCCAGCCACACCTCCCTATCTTATTCTGGCTGCAGGTGAAAATTCAGGGGCAGAACAAGGAGATGCTGGCAGCTGCCTGCCAGATGTTCCTGGGGAAGACAGAGGCCGAGATTGCCCACATTGCACTTGAGACACTGGAGGGCCACCAGAGGGCTATCATGGCCCACATGACTGTGGAGGTGGGTGTGCAGGACAGGGGAAGATCTGGAAGGGATGCCAGCATGAGGTGGACCTGAGGACAGAGCTAGTCTGTGAAAGCCAGAGGATCTCAAAGCTTAAGTTCTTCCTTCCCACCATTCTGTTATCCTAGGAAATCTATAAGGACAGGCAGAAATTCTCAGAGCAAGTTTTCAAAGTAGCCTCCTCAGACCTGGTCAATATGGGGATCAGCGTGGTTAGCTACACCCTGAAGGACATTCACGATGATCAGGTAAACCTAGGCAGTTGATCCTCTCTCGGCTTCCCTGCTCCTACCTCTTAGCTGCACCCACCTTCTCGAGGACTCTGATTTCTGCTTCTCTCCCACAGGACTACTTGCACTCCTTGGGAAAAGCTCGAACAGCTCAAGTCCAAAAGGATGCTCGGATTGGGGAAGCAGAGGCCAAGAGAGATGCTGGGATCCGTGTGAGAGAGACAGGGGGTCACTTGGATGTCATGGGGTGCCTGTGGGAGAGGGAACAGAAGGGGCTTAATTGAGTAGGGGCTGGTGGAGCTGGTTGGCAAAGGAAATCGATGAGGCCAGGGCTGGGGAACCTGTGGGGAGCAGACTTCTTCAGCCTTCATCTTCCTACACTGACCTTACCTGACCTCTACTTGGACAGGAGGCCAAAGCCAAGCAGGAAAAGGTGTCTGCACAATACCTGAGTGAGATCGAGATGGCCAAGGCTCAGAGGGACTACGAGCTAAAGAAGGCTGCATATGACATTGAGGTCAACACCCGCCGAGCACAGGCAGACCTGGCCTATCAGCTTCAGGTCAGAGCCACCCCACTGAACCAATGGCCAGGCTTGACTTTGCCCTCCCTCCACCCCTCTAGGACCCTACATCTCAGGCCACCACTCTTTCTCATGGTCTAACTCTGATCCCCTGATTCTCGCTCTTAATTTTTGACCCAACTCCTCCAAAAGGGAAGATTTAAAGACCTAAATGTTCCCACTGAGGTCAAAGAAAAGGTTGAGAAGCAACATGATCAATAGGATTGGTCATGTGTTTGGGGGCAAGTTATACAGGCACCTATATGGGAGTAAACCAAAGCCAAGATCCAGCCCATATTCTGTTTACCAGACTGGCATGGGTCTCTGGGTCCACCCAGGGAAAGGGGCGCCTTTTTCTAATTTGCACAGGGCACTGCAGGGGCTAGCAGGAGCCCTAGTGATCCAAGAAAAAATCATGGACTCAGGTATCTGAATCTGCAAAGTGAGACATGAGCAGCGTTGGATAATTGGTTGGGGGCCAGGAGTGAGGGGGGCTCCCTATCTGTGGGTTCTGTCTTTGATAATTCCCCCACTTTCTAAAACTTATTGGTAACTCTTATATCAGTAGGACTTTTTGAGATATCTCAACAAGTATCAGTCAAGCATGGAGTGAGGAAAAAATTGATACAGTTCCAGTTGAAGTTGAACAAGATGTTTTCTTGTTTCAGCTCTCCTACTGAAAACTATGCTTTTTTTTTTTATTTAAACTGTTTAAAATAATTCCCAAGCATAGTACCAAAGTGCTGTCTGGTATTCCTCGGTGGGTGTGATGTGCTTTGTGGAGAGAGTATGTGTGTTAGCTAAGCTCCCTCAGTCATGAATTGAATAGTGCTCTTAGTTATGAGTTTAATGTCATCAAGTCAGCACTATGTATTACATAAGGTGTATAAACAGAAATACGCACATAAAATAAGGTTATAGATTGTTCTGTTGGTGAACATGTTGTGGCCAGAAGCTCACAGGAACTGACCTTGTATTCCCACCAGGAATCAAATAAGTGTCACTAAATCACTGTTAACAAATAATGAGAATCAGCTGGACTATGAGACCTTACCCAAAGGACAGCAATATTTTGAAATTCATTTGTCAAGAGTTGATACAGGCTGCAAACATGAGATGCAGACCTCTTTAGTTTTGATGTTAAAGTCCTGGTGTCTTGACAGGTAATTGAGTGTGGCTGGCGCTGTGCTACTCAGGGCGTGGTCTGCCTCCCAGCAGCACCGCATCACCAGGAAGCTCATTAGAAATACAGAATCTCTAGGGCCTCCCCTGGTGGTGCAGCAGTTGAGCTCTGGCCTGGTTGAGCTCTGGCCTGTGAGGCTGCCCGCAGGCTCTGCAGCGCTGGTTGGTTTCCTGGCCACCCGGGGAGGGTCCCACCCCCCCCCAAAAAAAAAAAAAAAAACCTACAGAATCTCAGGCTCCAGCTGGCTTAACTGAATCAGAATCTGCATCTTAACAAGAGCTTTAGGTGTTCATGTGCACGTCAGAGTTTGAGAAGCATGAATACTGTGGGTGGGACTTGGGTAAGGTGCTTGACCTTCTAAACATGGCTTTTCTGGTCTGTATATTGAAGGACTAGACTGCTTTGCACTCTGTTCCACTTTGATCAGTTCCTCGTTTTGTGCCAGACTCTGTGCTAAGTAATTGGGAAATAAGGATTCCTTTACCAAAGACCTATTAAGTGCCTACCCTGCACCAGACACTGTTTTGGATGGGAGGATATAAATGAGAATTAGTATAGTGCCAGGAAGGGCACAGGGCAGGAACTCTATGATTGGACAGATGGGTAAAGGAGGAGAGTCCTGGAGCCCTCGGTGACTTTTTCAGGCTTTTATTGACATTTTACCAGGTACACAGCAGGTAGAGGTGCCGGGGAGGCCAGGAGGCTGGCAGGCCTCCCAGCCCCCGGCTAATCCTCACTCTTTCTAGGCTCCCTGGTCTGTTGTGGTCTCATTCTCTCCCTTCTGCTGGTTCCGTTCCGCTCTCTCGCTTGTTCTCCTGGTTCTCTTCCTGCTTGTTCTGTTCCCCTGTGACGCCACCCGTATAGGCCCAGTCTCAGCCCAGGTGTACCCACCTACGCATGTCCACACCCCACTCCAGGTGCCCACCATCAGGCATGCATTCAGGACTGCAGGGATCCATCATCAATCCTAGTGGCAGGAGGGCAGAAAAGCTGACAATCATTTACCCTATAATGAGACAAAAGATTCCTGTCCTTATGGCACTTACATTGTGGCACGTACCTCATAACAACTAATGCAAGTAAATAACCTTTATAGGTGCTAATTATCATGTTTAAGCGCTATGAAGGAAACAGGGCGATGTGAAAAACAGTGAGGGAGGACTCAGTTCAGTGGGTGGTCAGAGGAATTGCTGTGAAGAATTGATATAGGAAATAAAAGCTGGAGATGAGAAAGATGTATGTGGCACATGACTGGCCATGCTGTGATGTTGAGCACGTGAAATGTAGCTAGTATG